CCCCATAGAGTCACCTCCTGGGCAGCAAACAGACCCAGAGGTGAGAACTGCACAAAATTCAGGGTTCCTGAAAATCCCTCCTGTAAAAGCCAAGCCTGCACAGCCAACTTAAATGAAGAAAAAGTCTGTAATGTGCCTGTTCATTTGCTGATGTTTCTATGCCTAAACGTGGTCCTAGGAGAACTTCCAAGAAGCAGTAGGAATATATTCCTAAATGCATTGCACAGCACAGAGAAGTCTTTTGCAACAGAAATAGAGGAATGACTCATTTCCTCTGTAGCGGCTGCTCCGGCATTTCACTCGCACAGGCAGCAGAGCAGCTCCCTGTGCCATAGCAGGAGGAATGGGAAAACTCAAGAGCAGCTTCCAGCATGTGTAAATCCAACTGAATTTTGACTTGCCTTCAAAACCAGTGATCCCTGATTGTCGTCAGGAGACAGACTGGCAAACTGCACCCAAACACTCCCTCCCTCGATGGGAGTTTTGTATTTCAGCATTTTGATTTTGCACAGGATTAAACCCTGAAAGAGAGAGCCAAGAGTTGCCCTCCCTGTTGCCCTCCCCTGAAAGACTACACACATGGATTTGCCAGTGAATTCAGCTCCAAGTTTCTCTTCTCCCCTGTTCGAAACTAAAAGGACTGGACTGAAATTGTCAGGGAGAAGTGGGTTATTGGTTGAACTTTGCTGCTGTTCTTCCTGTTTCTACAGCTGTTTTCAGTCAGTACAGTGAGACTTCTCAAAGGAACTCCCTCCCTTTCTCCCCTAGGAATCCATCATAAATTTTTGGTAATTTTTGGTAACTTCTTTAATTTGATAGCTGTAGTCTTTCCAGCACTATCTCCATCAAGCCTGTATGCTCGTTTCCTTGCATCCCTCCCCTGCACCCCGATTATCATGGCTACCTTGTGGCAGAGATAAAAGCCAACAGACAATCACAAGTACCATGAAATCACTACCAAACCCTTGTCACATCCAGCCCAGCCCAGAGAAATGAGTATTCTCTATGCAGATCTGGTCCCTCTTTTCTTTTTTTTTTTTTTTTTTTTTTTTTTTTTTTTTTTTTTTTTTTGTGGTTTTGGTGGGTTTTTTTATTATTATTTTTTGTTGGGGGGTGTTTGTGTTTCATTTTTTTGTTGGTTTGGTTTGGGGTTTTTTGGGTGGGGTGGGCGAGGAACTCCCAGAGGTGTCAAGAAAAGTAGCTTGTCATTGGAATACACCGAATTCTTCTAAGTCTCTGAATCACCATTGCTATCCTTTAAAAGGAAAAAACCAAGGCTTAACACAGAGCTTGGTACACGATGACATTTGATGCACACATTGCTAACAACCTTTAAGCGTTTTGCATATAAATCGTTACTTGAACCCACAGGCTGTTCACAGACACAGAACACACATTACCTGTAGAGCTCTGCTGCTGATCTCTTAGAAAGCAGCTGCAAATGAGCCAATTCTTGGTTATTTATTTAAAATAGGACACTGAAGGTACATGCACAAGAGCAGAGGTAGTCTCTTAATTAGCCACCTCTTGTTTGAGAAACCCAGGCAGATCTATCCATGGTCAGCCCTCCATATCCTGCTTATTTTAGGGCTGGAGCTCCTTCAGCTTCTCCAGCAAGCACAGCAGCATGCTCCAAAGCATCAGCAAGCACTGAAGGACAATCCTTGTGCTTTAAGGGGTGCCAGTCCTTATTCTTCTCTCAACCACCAGCTTCCCAGTGCTGTCAGCCCAAGAAAAGTGGGGCTGGCTGCTCTTCTTGCCAGATACTGAAATTATGTCACTTACATCAGGAAGACTCACCAGGCATACATTTAAAGAGGTGACACAAGAAATAAACCAGCCTGGAAATTTCTCGTATCAGAAATCTTTTGGAGTCTTATGAAAATGGGATGCACAAATAAGACTCCCTTCCCTTCCAGACAGCTTTAACTTGCATTAGCAGTATTTAATCAGCAATTCACTGCTGACCTTGGCTGCATTACAAGGAGGTATTTGCACAAGGATGGAAAGATTTTAAACAATTTATCCAATGTGTTGGATGCAATCAGGCTTTTCTTTAAACACCCAGCAGGCAAGTCCTCAGGCCAGTTAATTTTTTGTTAACAGATTTATCACAAAAGGAAAGTACTGTGTTTCTTTCCTGTTGAATAGGAACTCAGGCTTCAAACAGAGAATAACTTCAGAGCAAGGATTGAATGGAGACCAGAAGAGGGCTATTGCTTTTAAGGAAGCCATGAATAAGAGATAATGTTATTAGAGGTGAAGCTCTAAATACATTTTCATCATGCCAACTTGGGTGTCTGAGTGTCGACACTAAATGTTGACATTTTCCCAGACTTTGCCAGCAAGAAGCCCGTTAGCCACACTGTGCCAGCAACTGCTGCCCCTCTCACAGAAGCAGCTCCTGCAAGGTAAAGGCAGGCACACAAAGACCTGGAGAAAGCCACTTCCAGCCTGGCTTTCATTCAATGATTTAAAAGCGCCGGGTCTTGCTGTTATTCCATTAATAGGGAACACCAGCAAAGCTATGTGTATAGTTCTTGCATCTTACAAAGACTAATAAAGGCCAGGTAATTTGCTGGCCCATCCACAAAGCTCCTGCTGGCTTCAGCAGGACTTCTCCCACCTTTAATAAAAGCCTGACCTACACGGTTCGGCACGGAGACGTGTCTGGACATGCCATGCTGAAGGATCTCACAGATACTGTGGAATGAAGCACCAGAAAGAGCAGAGTTGCAGCAACCCAATACTGGAGCCAAGGAAACAACTCTGAGCAAGCCAACCACAAAGCCCAGGTGCTCCATTTCAGAAGTCAGCACCACCACAGAGGGTGCCTGCTCCACTCTCCCTTCTGGCTCTCCTCCACATCCCTCTGCACAACTCCCGAGGCATGGACTTCCTGCTTTTCCATCATTTGGCCACTTTAGTAGTATCCTCCTAAAGAGCACATAAACCTGCCAATTACAGTTCTGTGCCTGCAGGTAGCTGTTAGTGAAAAAAAAAGCCAACAAAGAATTTAAATCTTGAGGCACAGAAGCTTTAACACAGTTGTTTATTATTACAGTGAAATAGTCAAACAAAACCACCAACATTTTATGGAAACAATAAAAGTGCAAATGTACTTTGGAATTAAATAGGAAAAGAATTTATAAACGTTTCATTAAAATGGGCTGACACTTTGAGCCTATAAGCACTTAAAAACCAAAACAATAGCAGCTGAACACTTCAGTTTCCTCTTTGGTCTTATGATTAACCAGCAAAAAATAGTTGTACGAGGAATGTCCATTACAAAAAGATACTTAAAATTTACATTACTCCACAGAGATTTGAAATCAAAAAAGGAATGTTTGCAAGATATTTGGTCAGATAAAATATAACACCATTGAGAAACAAGAGAGCATTTTTCAACACAAAATGAAATTACGTATATGAATGTTGGGACTGTAAATTAACTTATTCTCTTGCAGGTGTGACTCCTCTTCCCAATCAACATTCAATAAAAACAACTTCATTTGCACAGTCTTTGCAAAATTAGGTTGCAGGTAAGAGAGCCAAGAGCCTGTGTTAGTGCTAAATAACATGCTCTCTTTTTTCTGTGTTTGTGTTTCTGTTTACACACACACACAGGCAACCCTACTGAATCCATGGTACATTTTAACAGCTACAGCCTTAGCAAACAGGTAAGCATAACCTTGCTGTGTATCCATGGGCTGGGAGAGGAGGAAGAAGGCAAAAGGGCCACAGGATTACTCATATGGGTCAAGCTCTCTGTACCTGTCCCTGGAGATAAGGCCCTGAAACAGCTCCAGCAACAGCAGGCACCAGTGCTGTCATGTTTCTGTGGAATAAGATGAACGCTGTCACAAAAACCCAACTTCTGTCAGCTCCTCTCATCAATCCTATTCATGAATGCATGCTTTAGAGCAGATAAGGGGAATACATTTAATATCTCAGTTGTACACCTGAGCCACCAAGTGCACACACATTGCCTCATGGCAGGATGCCCCCTCACTTCAAGAAGGCTCACCCAAGCTTAAGGTGAAAGCAAACACATGCATTTTCTCCACCATGAACTCAAAGCACGCCTTGCTGAGCAAAAACTCGCACTGAAGATCTACCTGCATAGCTAATGAACTGAGGGTTTGCCTCACTTTTCACCCTGATGGTGAAAACTCAACTGCTTTGGAGATATTGTCAAAACAAAACTCACTTAAATCTCTTTACCCTACACTCCAAATCCACTTGCTTTCAATAGTTCTCCAATTTTACCCCATGTCCTTTGGCTTGTTTGCAGTGCATCTTCACTGAGAGTTTACCATCATTGTCACTCACCCCTCAGTCCAACTTTCATTTTCTAAACTATTTACATTCTCCACCATCCTTCTTGTCTTGTTGTATTTTCCAATGCAACTCTCTCCTCCTGACCTTACTACATTTTAGTGAGGAAGTCCTTACCAAGTCCATTACAGGCTTCCATGTACTGTGGCAATACTAAACAAATGTACACCCCTTTCCAGAGAAAAGATCCATTTTCAGAGACAGGGCTGCAGCGATATAAACGGACAGACAGCTGACTGAAGTGATCATGATGCCAGAATTAACAGCTCAAGGATCTTCATGTCAAGAGTTCAGGCAGCCACAATACCCTGGGCTGGCCATCTAGTTCTTCTCTGGGCAAAAGATTCAATGGCTTTGATTGCAGAACCGCATCTTATTTTAAATACCAAGAAACACAAGCCTACAAAAATGACTCAACTGCTTTGGAGATATTGTCAAAACAAAACTCACTTAAATCTCTTTACCCTACACTCCAAATCCACTTGCTTTCAATAGTTCTCCAATTTTACCCCATGTCCTTTGGCTTGTTTGCAGTGCATCTTCACTGAGAGTTTACCATCATTGTCACTCACCCCTCAGTCCAACTTTCATTTTCTAAACTATTTACATTCTCCACCATCTCTTCTTGTCCTTAAATACCAAGAAACACAAGCCTACAAAAATAGTACTTATCATGGTCTGCTACAAGAAAAAAAAAACAACAACCCAGAAACACCAATGTAGCTGACTTAAATACCATGTGCAAAGAACATTTGATCAATACTACCTATAAATACACTATTTGTATTTGCAGAAAGAAGCACAGGGCTTCGAATACAAAAATAACCCAGCTTGTGGGTGTGACCTATGCCATAATTACCTGAAAATATGACTGCAAGAGCAGTTATAGAAGTAGGCAAACATCTGCCTAGGGAGTGTTTCTGTTTAGAAAAATAGATTTGTATAAAGCTTCAGAGATTTTGACAATGTTTGTTTCATGTTCTGATGCACAGAACTGTGAGTAAGGCACACCAATACACCAGGGAGAGGAAGAGCAGGTTAATTACTTCAGGCTATCCTAAAGCTTCCCAGAAGTTACACTTGGTCCTTCACAATTTGGGAGTGCTCTCTCAGGACACAGCACTGCAGATAGTAAGGCACATGCTTAGCTTCCTGAGCACCAGCAATTTAGCAACACATTTTGGGACTAAATACATCAAATACTTGAACACGTGACCAAAAAAACCCAACGATTTGAATTTCTGAATTTTCTGACACCTTGGCACACCTGCAGTAGTAGCTAAGGACACCTGCAAACCTGGCTGCATCACAACTCACCAGGTTATTCCAGCAACTGGGACATAACCAGACAAAAAATGGCAATTACTTGCCTGATATTTATACTCAGAGGGCACCAGAATCTGTAGCCCAAGACAGCTACTGTACCACAAATCAGTGCTAAATAATTCTGAAGTACCCTGAAATATTTTACTTTCTTCTCCCCATAACAAAATAACAATTTGCTATAGTATAGACTAGAAAATCCCATCAATATTATTTGGTTGAAACACTGACACGATCAACACAACTGGTTAGGCAGTTATCCAAAATCCCACCAAACTCCTACCAGGGAGCAGTAGGGTGCCACAGTCAACTTATGGCACTGAGATTTGGACTGGTTTAAGGTTTGTTCCAAAATATAATAGAGAATTTCTTACTTTCTTGTTGGTCCTTGAGGTAAAGCATATTCTAAGGAAATAATACTTGAATACAGAAACAAATAATAAAACTCGAACCCACAAACAAATGGACTTCAGAGTATTTCTTTAAGAGGTTTTCCTTGGGATAATTCAATTCTTTAACAAAACACTAATGCCTCCCCAATAGCAATATTTAGTGCAGCCAATTATCCTAAAAATAAGGCCTTTGTGAAAATAAAGTGCTATCTGTTTCCTTCTATCTGCATTTCAATCCTTCAGTATAACCTTCACTTGAACACAAATATGAAATTGGATTTTCATCCTGTTATCAGAGCATTTTCACTTCTTCCCTCAAGTTTACATTAACATGTGTTACACTTCTATTTAGCACAATGTGCTAGATTACCCAGAAAATTTAAAGCATGGCATTGAGCATTTCAAACTGTGATCCACACCCATGCTCTAGTGCTTATCACATTTTAGGAACATCTTGGTACGTTGATGGATGGGGGAGGTGCTGTTTGCACTTGGAAGATTTTTAAATCCCACATGGATTTTACATCATAAAAAGAAAATCTCAGAAAAAACTCTTATTTTGCCACTAAGACAAGAAGCTAACAAGGATTTCTAAAAATGTCAGTTTGAGCCTTTTAGTTTGCAAACTGTCGACCAAAGGCAACACTTGAGGACTAAGGCGTTTCCCCAGAAAAGTCAAAATTTTCCCACGTACAACCCATGAGAATGAGAATCACAATTTCGCTAAGTCTTGGCCTGCTCTTCTCAGGCGAGGAACAGAACCACAGAAGCACATTTCCTCAGTCCCAGCTCCCTCAGGCAGAGGGCTGCTGCAGCCCCGGCAGAGCCCCGGTGCCAGCGGCTCTCCCGCCACCAGCTCACTCTCCCGCCGGCGGCTCCCGCTTGGCCTCAGCGATGTGGCGGCACGGGGCGGGCACCGGGCGCCAGTACCGCGGGCTGCTGTACATCCTGATGATGTGCGGGGCCTGGATCCACGTGCTGATCAGCTGGAAGGCTACGAGGTCCAGCGTGGGCCCGTCGAAGGCAGACAGCAAGTTCACAGGGGCCGCTTCCTTGAGGAACCGGGGCAGCGCCACGGCCTCGGGGATGCTGGTGTTGCCCAGGAAGAAATCCATCAGCACCTGCTTGCGCAGGCAGTCCCTGAGGTACAGCACCAGGTCCTCCAGCCGCTCCACCAGGAACTGCTCATCCCAGGCGTCCAAGGGCCCCCGCAGCAGCAGGGAGAAGAGGGCCGTCTTCAGCACGTAGGACGAGAGCACTCGGCCCCACTGCGAGCAGAAGGGCTCCTCCAGGCCGTGCCGGCGCAGGTCCCGCAGGCCCTTGAGGATCTGCAGGCACTTGAGGTGGCAGGAGGCGGCCGGGGCCTGCTCCTTCAGCCAGCCCAGCAGCCGCTGCTCCTGCCGCGAGGCGTTGAGGCCCCAGAGCGCCTCGGGGGCCAGGGAGCCGTGGGGGCCCTCGGGCGGCAGGGCTGTGAGGTAGAGCGCGTCGCCGAGAGGGATGGCCGGGATGAGGCGCACGGCCATGGAGATGTGGCAGCAGACATAGTCGGAGCAGGGCAGGATGTGCAGCGTGGGCGGCTGCCCGGGGCACGCCGAGAGGCTGACGCGGCACCGCTCCTGCAGCCGATAGCGCACGGCTCCCAGGCACCGCTGCAGATGGCCCTGGAACCAGCGCAGCACCAGCCCCGAGGAGAGGTGGCTGCGGCCCTGCAGCTCCACGCAGAACCCCTCGGCAAAGGGACGGCAGCGTCGTGTCCAGCCGTCCCTCGCCCGCAGGCCGCAGACGAAGGCGCCGCATGGCCCCAGGCCGTCAGCACAGCGCGGCTGGGGCTCCAGGTGCGGCGGCAGCCGCAGGGGCACCAGGATGTCGAAGCAGTCGGGGCTGCGCACCTTGTGCTGCTCGTAGGCGCTGCCGATGCGCACGAAGTCCCCGCGCAGGCTGAGAGCCAGCGGGCCAGGCTGCAGCCCCTGCGCCTTGGCGGCGCGCACCAGCTCGGCCACCACCCGCCCCACGTGCGCCTTGCTGTGCCCCAGCACGTGCGGCGACACCCGCAGCTGCCGCGCGTGGAACCGCTCCAGGGCTCCGCGCCGCGCCCCCGCCGTGCACCGCGCCCCGCCGCGCCGGGGGCCGCCGCCCGCCAAGCCGTAGCAGCGGGCGAGCAGGCAGCCGAGCAGCAGCAGCGCCGAGCCCTTCAGCAGCGGCACCCCGGACCCCGCCGCCTCCGCCGCCGCGTCCTCCGGGCCCCCCGCGCCCTCGCCGGCCGCGCTGCCGCGCAGCGCCTGGAAGAGGCAGAGGAGCGCGGTGCAGAGCGCGGTCAGCAGCGGCCAGAAGCCCCGCACGCGGAGGGGAGGCACGGGCAGGGCGCGGCGGGGGCTCGGGCCGCGGGGGG